ACTATAAAATTCATCAAGTTGTTGTTGTTGTGTTGCATAAGCCGCTTTTTCCTCGGCAGTTAGTCTCTTGTGCTTTTTCCTTGTATTTTCACTATGTGCTTTCTCTCGTACTTTATTCACTTGTTGCGCAGATTTTCAAAGTGTCATTCATTATTCATATTATTTCTATATTTCTCTCTCTCTTTCTTGTAGATTTCTTATAACACATAAAAAAGCAGTCATTATCTGTAATTATAATTAAACAGTCTCTGTCTGTTTCATGGTTTGTTAATATTAGATTATTTTAGTTGTCTTTAGATATGTCATTAATAAATGTCTCATATCTCTGTTTTGTGTTTCATTTAGTGCTTTATGAAAGCCTGTCAAAATCTTTAAGTCAATATTTGGCTTGGGTCCTTCAATCCCTAGTAATTTTACTTCAGCCTTATGGAGCATTAGTTCCCGTTCAGCGTAGAACTTCTTACAATCGAAAATGTAGTGTTGAACTGTCTCTGCACATTTGCAGTGCTCACATTGGTTTGAAATGTCGGTCTGTATCTTAGACAAATGATTGTTTAGCTTGGAGTGTCCAGTAATCAGTTGATTTATCTTACAAAAGTAAGACCGATTTTGTTCATTCAGATTATTTTGGACTCCTACAGTTTCAATAATTTCTTGTATGTGTTTGACTTTTGTCGAGTTATCATATAGAGTCTGCCACTTGTTCAGGGCAGTTTTCTTAATAGATCTATAAACTTCCTCTTTGCTTTGTTTAACAGAGGATTGGGGCAGTGTCGCTGCTTCCGCTGCTGCTTCCTTGGCATATGTATCGGCTAATTCATTGCCGTGAATTCCTAAGTGGCTTGGGACCCAGTAGTAGGTTAAAACATTGCCGCCCTCGCTCAATCTGTAAACCAGAAACCTGGAATTTTCAATGCATTTAATTTCAGACCTTGGTTTATTGCTACTGAAAGTGCTAAGAAGGGCTGGTTGACAGTCACCAAAGATGTGAATATCGTGGTTGTTAATAGATATAGAGATATTTCCCCACAAAAATTATTGCTTCTGACACTGATTGCTTTTTTCAAGCAAACAGGGTCAGACTTGGTCCCGGCAAGAAATATAATCGCGCTTGACCCTGTTGGTCCTGGATTTGATAGAGTGGACCCGTCAGTGAATACAATCACAGATTTATTGCTCAGATTGTTGATTTTATCTTTGATGATTTTACACTGCTCAGCTTTACTCACCCCTATTGTTTTGCTACAGGTACCTTCGAAAATGTTAAGCTGGTAGGGTGGAAATTCTAGACTTGTTTTGTATTCTTTTTCGACTTCTGCATTCTTGCCTGTGCTGTTAAACTCTCTTATTCTTGAGTTTAAAATGCTGAAAGTTGATGGTTTTCTTTCTATATAGGTTTGATTACTCTTTTCCAATTGTTGAATGTTTTTGCGAGTGGGTCATTATCATTTTTACATAGAACTCTAGTGAATTCTTGACTTTGTCGTGTTCTGATATGTATGTCCATAGGTTGGCAATTAGTTATGACGTCAAGAGCATCTGAACTTGTGTACATACATCCTGATGCCTTTATCAAGGCTAGTCTTTGTACTTTCTGAAATTGTTGTGTGGCTTCTTTATGAACGCAAGCTAGAAGTGCACATCCATATAAGTATACGAAAGCAGATTGTGTGCAACCAGAGCTTACACTTGTGAAGTCAGAAATTCTTTTAAGTGCTGTGAAGCCCTTCTTTGTTCTGTCTTCAATATGTAGATCAAAATCTAATTTGTCGTCAATTATTATTCCAAGCACTTTAGTAGATTTGACGATGTTAATTTCCCCTTTTTCCAGTTTAATGGAAGAAGGTACTGCTGTCTGAATTCTAGGTGGAGAAAATACAAGTGCTTTGGTTTTGCTTGGTGCAAAACTCATATTCCATTTGGTACACCATGTTTGTATGGTTGCTAGGTCTTCTTGAATTGACTTAATTGCTATGTCCAGATCCTTGTTGCTGGTCCATATGATAATATCATCTGCGTATTCTCCGTAGCTTGCCTTTATGTTGGTGAGGGCGTCTGCAGTGTACGTGTTACAGAGCTGCGGGCTAATTACGGCCCCCTGAGGGATACCAATGGAGGACTTTCTAAGAGGAGTTGTATATTTGTTAACAGTGATTGAGTACTGCCTCTTCAAAAGGTATTCTGCTATGTAGCATAGAGTTCTACTCCTGAGTCCTTTGTTGATAAGTTTGTATAGCAGCCCCTCTCTCCAGATCCTTTCGAAACAAGACTCGTAATCTATAGTGATCGCAACAGTGTGTTGGTTCTCATTCCATCCTTGTTGGACCTCCTGTGTAAATCTTAGAATTATTTGTTGGCAGCTGTGTTGTTCTAAGTACGCTTCCTGAAAAGGAGACAACAAATCTAATTTAAGTGCAATCCAGGAGTATCTATATGCTATAATTTTTTCGTAGAGCTTTCCTAAAATAGATTCAAGGGTTATTGGTCTATAGGAAGTTGACTTGTTGTATGTTGGTTTACTGGGCTTGGGGATCATATGTTTTGGATCTATGGTATATTCAATTGGTATTTCCGCTGATTTCCAGATTTTTTGGTACAATATTAAAAGGGCATCTATAATTACCAGGCCCGTAAGACGCTTTTCTCCAAGGGGGGGGGGTGCGGTTTTCAGCTTTCTAAAGAGAAAACATGTATTAAATTGTCAATTTTTTTGCCGCGTAAATCAAATCGCGTAAGTCAGAGGGGGTGGCTCAGTTACTCCCTATATTGTTTTGGAATTAACAAATGCAACTTCCAAACGTTCCAATTGTTTTGTGGGGGTCATGGGCGTAGCGCCTATTACGCAAAATACGCACAGGCGTACCAAATGAATTTGAAAACAATTAAAAATGTGTTAAAATGCATTAATTTATTTGCGAATTTATTGATGCTTCCTTTCGTATCTGTATGTTAACCATTGTCAACATTTAAAGTTGATAAAAACGCTTAGATTCCATCAAATAACATCCTTGAAAAAAAATTTGCTGGGACCCCTCGTGATGCGCGGCCTTCGGCCAAGCATTCAGGCATCCCCGAGTGTGCGTACCAAGTCAAAATATAGCCCTACGCCCATGGGGGTGTAAGGAGTGGTCCACTCCCCCTGGAAAATTTTACAGTTTCGAGATGCTATTGGGTGCTTTCTGGGTACTTTCAAAGTGTAAGTTTCCAAGCAGTACGCCACCACCATGGCAATAAGAGTTGAGTGAATAAAAAACCGAGCATTCAGGGGGGTCTGGGTCTGGTTCTCCCCCAGGAAAATTTTGAAATTTGGTTGTATTTGGAGCGAATTTGCAACCATCTGGTACGCCTGTGCGTTATGAATCAATAAGAAAAATGTGTATTTTTTTCAAATTCTTTTGGGGGTGTCAAAGTGGATGAGAGGGTGAAGTAGGGTGTGGTGCCAGTAGGGGAGCAAGGGGTTGTCCCCGAGAAACATTGACCATATCAAGGTGCTATTTGATGATGTCTGGGCACTTAAAAAATGTCTGAGACAATACATGAAATTCAGAATATTTTCTTTTGTTTTGTGGGGGATGTGAGGGGTGGCTAACTCTCCTAGAAAATTTTACAATTTAAAGATGATATTTGGTGCTTCTGGGCAGAGGGGGAGGTGGGGCTGGGGTGCCACAGGGGGAGCAAGTGTTTGTCCCCCATATCAAAATTTACAATATCAAAGTGCTATTCGATGAAGTTTGGGCACTTTAAAAGTGTCTGTGCCTAAAAGTGGGGGGGGGGTGTTAAGGGGGGGGGGCTGCCAGAGGGGGAGGTGGAGTGGGGATGCCAGAGGGAGAGTAAGTGTTAGTCTTCCAGAATCATTAAATTTATCAAGGAGCTATTTGATGATGTCTGGGCAATTTAAAAGTGTCTGAGACAATACATAAAACAAATTCAGAACTTTTCCATTGTTTTGTTTGGGGTGTGAGGGGTGGCCCACTCCCCCTAGAAAATTTTACAATTTTACAACGCTATTTGGTGCTTTCTGGGCACTTTCAAAGTGTATGAGTCGCAATTAAAGAATTTGAGAAAATCACAATTTTTTTCGGTGGGGGGGGGTCAAGGGTGGGGGGGGGGCGCCAGAGGGGGGGTCTATGCAAGTGCAAGATGCAAGAGCCCCCAGAAACACTAACTATATCGAGGAGCTATTTGATGATGTCTGGGCACTTTAAAAGTGTCTGAGACAAAACACTAAAATAAATTTAGAACTTTTCCAATTGTTTTGTGGGGGATGTGAGGGGTGGCCAATACCCCTAGAAAATTTTACTATTTTAAGATGCTATTTGGTACTTTCTGGGTACTTTCAAAGTGTATGAGTCAATGAAAAAAAATTACAAATTGTTTTCAAATTTTTTTTTCAAATTTATTTTGGGGTGTGACAAAGGGGGGTGCGGTCGCACCCATCGCACCCCCCCCCCATCTGACGGCCCTGATTACATCCCCTCCCTTTTGAATAAGTATGTATTGCACCTTTTCCCTGGGGCTAGGGGCAGATTGGCTTTTTGCCTCTTTTACTGCCTTACAAATTTCATTCTTTGTGATGTTTTCAGCCCCGATATCTGATTTTTCGTCATAAAATTCCCTTTGAATTCTCATTTTTTCATTGTTGATGAATTCTTTGACAAAGTTTTGCACCTGATTATACCATTCTTTATTGCTATTTTGTACATCAAGGCATTCCTTGCCATAGTGTTTCAACATTTCGTTGGCTATCTCTTCATCTGAGAAAGCTATAGATTCACTGTATAGGATATTGTTACAGACATTTACATTAAAATATCTAGAAACTAGACTCGATCTTTCTCAAACGATGAAAAACATCAGTTTGCTCAAATGTCATCTCCCTTGTGTTGTACCATACCCCGCGCATTCGCATTTAACTGTCACGCTCAATTTAGTTCAGTCCATGTCGTTATACATTCCGATTGGTTATTTCTAAATCTATTTTAAGCGACTTAAACGCATAATGCGAATAGTACGATTTGTGTTGCTCTGTATAGTATAATACTTCGAAGGTACAGTAGTATTGATTTGGCCCATGTGCTCTCTGTAAATAATTTTAGTATAATATTTTTGACTGTCTAAGTTATGGCTATTCTGACTACAACACGACTTCCGAACTATGCAAAGGCTTTTGCGGTGTGCATAGTTTTGATCATGTGTTTGATGTTCGTATACTTCAGAGGGTTACTAGCAGAACAAGAATCGAAGGTACGTTAGTATAGTCCATTCAAATGTTTTATTTTCGACAATAAAACCTAAAAAGGGATCAAAATACCACAGTGCTGTAAAATAAGGAAAATATATGAGCCTGGCCATAGGAAACCCGGTCTTATCACAAAAATTAGAATTGTGCTACAGAGCCAAAAATGTGCCCAAGATTAAGAGGAAAATGTGCTCAATTCAAAACCGGCATGGCTCATATTGATATTGCACACGAAATTAATGACGTTCGTATATTTTAGATTAGTTAATTGTATGTCCAATAAACCCGAGGCCTCTTGTAATTTAGAGAGTTTCAGCAAAATAATATGTACTTTTGATTAACTTTAAAGACATGTTAAGGACAGGGTGCATGTTGGGAAATTTTCTGCATTCCTCAATTGAGTCACATGTTATTTTTCAAACAAGAATAACTCCTTCCCCACATTGTCTACATCTTCCAAGTTTGCACAAAGAGTGCACTTATGTGCCTAGAAAAGCCTTGTGAGAAGGTTTGCTTTGTAAAATGTATAAAAATGAGAAAATTCAGTGAAAAAAAATTCTGAAAATTTCAGTGTGCAAGTTTAGCATTGTTTTCCCATTGATCATTTGAGTTCTCATGTCAATAAATGGAAATAAAAATGATAGAGTAGTTTATTTTATTGTAAAAATCAAAAATAAAACAGGGTTTGGTCAGGAAGGGAACAGGTGAAATCCTTGGGATATATGAATTAATTAATTTTAAGTTAGAAACATATTCATGTTTCTACAATTTAGGGTAACCCTGTGTATTATTCTACTGTGCATGGTTATACCCGTGCAAAATATTACAAAATGTTATTTACTTATTATAATAATGCAATGTGACAATATCAGTTTTATCTTCAAATTTGTATATAATACTTTGCCTGTAAGGTTGGGCAAGCCATCTATTACGTTGATAGTATAAGATGTTGATTTTGCAAAGCAGTACCAGTATATGTACAGTAACATATATGTAAGGGAAAAAAATGTAGTCCAGTATGTAGTAAAGAAAGGAGTATTTTGGTCAACTCAATACATGATCTGATAAACACTACATAAAGTGTTTTCTATGCAATGATTATATACAGGCTGCTTATTCATTGTTACTGCGAATTTCAAAAGCTTCCAAATTGTGTGGAATAGAGCATGCAATGTTTTTCAGTTTCAAGCAGGTTTTAGTACATGCTGACCAATTGTATTTTCAGACTTATTCATTTCATGATTATGTAATACAGACCTACTTATCTGCTTAACATGTCTTTAACGCTACCTGAAAGAATTCCAGCTATGTTTATCCATGGGCTTTCAAGAAATCTCTTGAGCTCATGGTTAATCGTATTGAAAATACCGGGTGAAAATAATATAGAGAAGCATCCAAATATAAGATGCCACACACTGTATTAGCTAAACTAAAAGCAATCCAAGATAAACAAATGTCATTTATGTACAATAGGAATATATATTTTCCATTTATTATTGGACAGTGATCTTTTGATTTCTTAGTTTTTAGGTTTTACTGACGCAAAAAAACAATGAAATGGGCTGTACAGCTCTGTTGTCTTATGACTTATGATTCTTTATTTTTAGGTTTAGGGGCGCGGGGTAGTTATCAGAAAATTACACCAAATAGGATTTGAAAAAATATGTGGATTTTAACCTTCAATCAGTTTTACTACTCCCATATATTATTTACATGAGCAGGACCACAATGGTCATGGTCAAAATGACCCTTTACCATGCTGAAATAACCTTTTCAGCCCTCTGAAATAGTGACTGAAAAAGTTGAAAGTTTCATTTTATAAAGCATTTCCGAAAGGTCACTGGAAAGAATATTTTGAAATGCTGATTCAACGTGCAAAAATTGGTGAAAATGTTTAAATTCTCCCCTATAATAAGAATGGTAACCATTCTTATCGAAAAATAATACATTATTGTAAAAATCTTTAGTTTTCCTGAAATAAAGTGTGCACTTTGGGGATTTTTGGAAAATAAACATGAAAAGGAATGACATAAGCCAAAAATATTATAAAAATTAAACATTTTATTTTGTTAGGCTGCTCGCTAGATCTGATTCTATCTTTAAGAAAACAACATATTGAATGGACTTTGCAATAGATCAATGAATAATAGAATTTGTTATCGTGAAACACAATTTTGACATTATGGACAACTTAAAAACCAAAATAAAAAATATTAGATTAGTATTTAGGAAACATTTGTCAAACGTAATGATATACCTTAAGAAAAAATATAGGAGTTTGTAAATTGTTGCCTTTAAATTTATTATAGGTCAAAACGAGAGATCAACAATTTGAACAAGAAAACATTAAGGTTAAATCTGTGGACAAAGAAGTATGGCTGCCACAGACAACTTTAGAATTACTTGGAAAACTTACCCATTTGAAAGACGTTTATAATTACACAGATGCTGATGTGAAGCACATTACTGAAACACTTAAATTTGCAGTAGATGAGATGTCTGGTTTTATGAGAAAATCTGGAAGACCATATTTTCAACATTGTGTAGGTAGGTCACTAAGTGTAGCAATCTTTTGGGATATTCATTGGATGTACCAATGCCATCTAAAATTACATTATTTTGTAGATTTGAATAGGGTTTTCAGTTCAGGTATATAACTCACCGATTTCTTCGATTTCAATCTTTATAAAGTTTCATATATAACGTTTTGACACCACGTTGACTTATAGTGTACTCTTACCTAATATTACCAAAGTGTGAAATGTGAAACATTTTTTAATTTCAAAAAAGTGATTTTGAAGAACTTTTAGTTCGAAAAATTGTAAATTTATTTTAGTCCACCTTTAAAAGGCCACTAAGTTTGAAAAACTTTTTGATTTGCTAAAGCATTGAAGTGGCACATTATATTATGACATAATACTATTGTAAGTGTGTGTCCTTTGTTCAGCCTTTGCATTGGTGTTAAAAAATAAAATATTTTTTAACTGTATAGTAGGATATTTGATGATTACAAAATTCTTTTTTTTAAAATGGCGAGAAATTTAAATAATTGAGAAATGAAAAGCTGACAACTTTTTTCGAATTTTTTTTTAAAATCTCTAAAAAACTTTTCAAATCATGACAAATTTAAAAGTAAATGAATGATGAAACCATTCTTTCAAACTTAACATCGGTACCAAGAATCCACAAAAATCATGGAGATTCTGGTTAAATAATGTACTACTCTTTTAACTAATTCAAGCTGACTTTTTTGCCCTGGGAGGTCACCTTTTGAAAAAATCCAGGGAAGGGTCACTTTGAAAATTATAACCAAAAATCAATTGATAGTGCTCATATGGTGCTAATGTATCTTGGTTTATATCATTTGGTTTATTAAAGGTATGGCTGGCTGTTTACTTGATATCGGAGCACCACTTGATCATGCGCTGTCGGGTCTTCTTCACTCCATTTATGTATTATGTATGTGCTGTCATTGGTTTATTTAAGGTATGGCAGGTTGTTTGCTTGATATTGGAGCACCGCTTGATCATGCGCTGTCATGTCTTCCCCACTCCATTTATGTATTATGTATGTGCTGTCATTGGTTAATTTAAGGCATGGCAGGTTGTTTACTTGATATTGGAGCACCGCTTAATCATGCGCTGTCAGGTCTTCTCCACTCCATTTATGTATTATGTATGTGCTGTCATTGGTTTATTAAAGGTATGGCAGGTTGTTTACTTGATATTGGAGCACCGCTTGATCATGCGCTGTCAGGTCTTCTCCACTCCATTTATGTATTATGTATGTGCTGTCATTGGTTTATTAAAGGTATGGCAGGTTGTTTACTTGATATTGGAGCACCGCTTAATCATGCGCTATCAGGTCTTCTTCACTCCATTTATGTATTATGTATGTGCTGTCATTGGTTTATTTAAGGTATGGCACGTTGTTTACTTGATATTGGAGCACCGCTTAATCATGCGCTATCAGGTCTTCTTCACTCCATTTATGTATTATGTATGTGCTGTCATTGGTTTATTTAAGGTATGGCAGGTTGTTTACTTGATATTGGAGCACCGCTTAATCATGCGCTATCAGGTCTTCTTCACTCCATTTATGTATTATGAATGTGCTGTCATTGGTTTATTTAAGGTATGGCAGGTTGTTTTCTTGATATTGGAGCACCGCTTGATCATGCGCTGTCATGTCTTCTCCACTCCATTTATGTATTATGTAAGTGCTGTCATTGGTTTATTTAAGGTATGGCAGGTTGTTTACTTGATATTGGAGCACCGCTCAATCATGCACTTTCAGGTCTTCTCCACTCCATTTATGTATTATGTATGTGCTGTCATTGGTTTATTTAAGGCATGGCAGGCTGTTTACTTGATATTGGAGTACCGCTTGATCATGCGCTGTCATGTCTTCTCCACTCCATTTATGTATAATGTATGTGCTGTCATTGGTTTATTTAAGGTATGGCAGGTTGTTTACTTGATATTGGAGCACCGCTTGATCATGCGCTGTCAGGTCTTCTCCACTCCATTTATGTATTTGGTGCACAGGCACAGGTCAGTACATCCCCCGCCATCATTCTGATATTTTATTGTTTAGAAATTGATGATTCCAAAAGGACTTTCAGTTGCAAAACTTTTTAAACTACATTTCTGCCATTTTTATATGGCAAAAAACCTAGGCGTTTTTCAATAACGTAACAGTTGTTATTCAAATAGCATTGTATAAACTGTGCGTTTGTTCACAAACAGGGTGGGCCACAAACGTACATCTTTTCATCATAAAAAGGGTTATAACAAAATAAAATATGTAGAATGTTTATGGCCCATCTCATTTATGCAGACGCAACTAAACATCATCAAACTATCGTATAAACTTTCAAATATCATGATATAATGTTTAAAACTCAATCATTTTAAATTGATTAAGTTTTAAACATTTCATGATATGATGTTATCATTACTCTTCAGGCTGTTACAAATGCTGATGACGTTTGTGTATTACGCAAAAAAGTTATAGAAGTCGTTGGTCTTGAAACGGAATACTATGTATGGGGCTACACTGTCTATCCGCGAGGAAATCTCGATGACAGCGCTGTGCAGATTGCAAGAGAAGCTTTAGATAAAGGACTATATGAAACTACAAAAATGGGTCCAAAATTGAAAGATGCTGTGTTGGGTCATTTCTGTAATGAGCTCGACGAATTCCACCAACTTGATCAAGTGTAAGTTTTTATTCGAGAATGGAAGTCATGCCACAACTTTGACAAAATAAAATCATTGCATCAAATGAAATTATGTCTTCAATGGAATGTAGAACTATTGGACCTATTATAGATGTCTCTTAAACATTTGTCCAATAAAAATCAAAGCCGGCTATATTGTCTTGTGGAAGTTATAGTTAGGTAAACTTAGTAAATCTATAGGATGTACATAAAGTGTATTTGCAAACACAATGTGAAGGTTGTAGGTAGTGTGACCGTCATTTTTAATATGCTTAAGCGAATCTAATTATTACGACGCAATGGGTGCACAAACAATGCGTTTTCATCATGATATAGTGAATCAAATACACATTAAAGGGAGGATCAGATTAAGCAAGTAAGCCGAACAAAAATCATTTTACTTTTCCAATACTTACTACTTGGGGCCATTTCAATACTACTAGTATCTCCCCCATCTGTGCACTCTGAATCCGTATTAACCTCGGCAAGTTATAACATATCAACTCTCAAACCCAGTTGAACAATTCACAGTATATACATGAATAAACCATAATTTCAAGGTATGCATTGCAGCTCTTTACTCCATATAATATATCATTACATATTGAATCTATTTTTACAGGTACTCGGGGAATCGCAAACGAAGTCCAGCTTTTAGGGAAAATGCTACGCATATCTTAAACAAATTAGGCTACCCCGATCTTGCAGATAAACTACTTACCTTGTATTCGAAACAAGATCAAATAGACATTCCTAATACAGAAACTGATAAACAGCATACGAAGACAGTTAGGGAGTTTTCACAACATTTACACCAAGCGTTTGGTTCAGATCCAAAATATGGTGCCAGACCAAGAAAGTTTCATAGAATTTTGAATTTTGACAAAGTTGCTGTACATGAGGTTATGGAGAACTTTGATAAGCATTATGCAGAGGTGGAGAACTTGTGTCCAGATATACCTCTGTATAAACCTTAACTAGTGTGAAGCCCAGTGGCTAGTAGATGGCTAATTAGTGACATAATAATGTATTGGGGAAAGTTGATTGGCGTTATGCATGCCGAGGTAGAGACCATGTGTCGAGATATACAAAATTGTACCTCTGTATCACGGGATGTCATCGCCTGATTTGGTCAATGTTAGGGAGCAGGTCGTTTTTACAATAAATTTCAATATTTTCACACAAAATATTTTTTTACTGAAAAACTGCTCATTCGCAGAGAAAATGTACTAGCACATGCAATGACAATGTCAATCACGCTTCTGTACGAAATTCGGCGGAAGTCTTTTATAATCTAATACGAAGTTACTAAAAAAGGCGCGAACGCCCTACACTCAAAATGATCGTTTTTCCATTATAACTTTTTAACGTAATTTAACGAAGGCTTCTAATTATTATCCAAGATAGTCTAAATACCGATTAAAATATTTCTTACTTCAAACAGATACGCCGTCTTTTATTCAATTTTTTAAAAAATAATAAAAAATAACTCTTGTCAATGTTAGGGAGCAGTCAATGTTAGGGAGCAAAATGATTTTATCAGAATATTAAAAATGTAGCAAATGGCCATTTAAAATATGTATGGCATTTATAAACTAAACAATATTGTTTGAATGATTATTTTAAACCCCTTGCCTTAACAAAATTTAACAAAATCGATAAAAAAAATTGTTTTGCATTTTTGTTATCTTCAGAAAATGGACTCTCAAAGATTTTTGACGAAGGAAAGTTAATTATTATCATGGATAATCTCAGTACATATTGAAATATTTCTTACTTCAAACAGGTACACCTTTCTTTAATTTTTTTTAAATAATAAAAAATAAGTATGATCAATGTGGCGGAGCAAACAATGCAGTGGGGCGAAATGGTTTTATCAGAATATCAGAGTAATTGGCCTTTACAAACATGTATGTCATTTATAAACTAGACAAGATTGTATGATTGTTTTATACCCCTTGGTATAAACCTTACAAGCATACAGTATTGCTCAGCACAATATACACAATTTAACCAGATACAATAATTACATGACATCTCCCTTTATTCATGATATTGTATTTAAATAAATGAGCTCATCTTTGTATATAAATTATTGTTTTGAAATAGACCGGTAACACTTAAAGAAAGTCTAAAACTTTGTCCAATCATATTTTAGAAATGTTAGAATAATAAAACATTTTGGGACTTCACACATTTTCAACCCAAATATAGACATAAATTGAGCTGATTGTCTTTCAAGTATAGCTCAGCAAGCAGCACAAAAATTGAATATTAGGAAAAAATACCGTCACTTCTCTTGAACAACTAAAAATTCTTTCCAAAGTGTTATTTTTTCACCAATTACTAATTTGCAAATTAATCTGAAATGTGTACGTATGCAGCAAATGCCCAAAACAGTTCTCTAGGAAAAGCTGTTTGAACAGGCACGAGATGACCCACAAGGACTCTGAGTTCTTTTGTGAGACTTGCCAGGACATGGGATCAGATATGGAGGGCACACGCTGCTTCAAAACAAAACATTACTTAAACGTTCACAAGAAGCTTGTTCATGGAAACACGTTATTCAAATGTCCACATTGTTGTAAGGAGTTTAAATACCGAGCAACCTTACAACGGCATATTAAAACGAATCATTCTTCAAACATGTAAGATAGCGTAATAAATGCGCAGCTGCAGTTGCTAGCTAGCTCATGATCTAGTAGCATGAAATGTAATGTTTTGTTATTTTAAAAATTATGTCTCCCCTGAACTGTAAATTTCAAAAATATTCTCAATAATTCCATGATAATTCATTCATATAATTACTGTAGTACATTGGAAAGTGAAATAAGTAGCTTGCACGGTGGATATGGATGACGCAGTCCAGCCACGTACTGTATGTGTAATCCCAGGTTAATATATAGGGTGTCCCCAAGTCTGCAAGTGAGCCGCTTTTTGACAATTAAATTCATTCAAAACTTAAATAAAGTAGCCTTAAGCCCAGTATACACCAATGGGGCAAAATCCCACTTGCCCATCGAGTCCGATCTTGCCCTATCGAATCCGAACTTGCCCCAATGAGTCCAACGGAGTCCCATGGTTGATGACTTTGCCCCATCAAGTCCCAACGTGCCCCATCGAGCCCCATGGAGTCCCATCAAATCCCACCTTGCCCCATTGGTGTATGTTGGGCTTCACATAACATGTGACCTGATCGGAAATCCCACGATGCCCCATGGAAAGAATGAACATGTTCATTCTCGATGGGGCAAGATGGGACTCCGTGGGATTTTGCCCCATCCTGCCCCATCGAATCCCATCGAGTCCAACGTGGGACCTCATGGGACTCGATGGGGCAAGATTATATGCAAGTTGGGGCAAAATCCGACGGAGTCCCATTGATTCCCACGGACTTCATGGGGCAAAATCCCAAAAGGTCCCACTAGGTCCCACGCCATGTTAAGTCTATGGAGGTCCCAACTTGTCCCATTGGTGTATACCGGGCTTTAGAGTATCATTAGCAAGTGGTACACATATAACAGAGATCGGTTATATACTGCATTGTCTGAGTATTGACAAATTGAAGTATACGTGTAAAAATCTACTATCATACATGTAACTGCGCAATGAGCCCTTCATAGCGTTTGTGCCAGCTATCAGGTGATACCCGGTCGTAAAGATAAGTGCGAGACTAACTCTCTTACTTTAATACTAGGAAAATATCAAATCATAGAACTGAAGGATGTCGGAGATTTCTCAAGCCTATATATCAGTTCAGATAATTTATCATCCACAATTTAGGATTGTGAACTGATGACATCATCAAAAAGTGTATATAACGATACATCCATTCATTTACAGTTAGAGGTCAACGAATAAAGAAGGAATGGTTCGCATCTAAATATTTCTAAAACGAACGTAAACAGGATTTAGCTGAAAATAAAAAATGCAAAATAACCTTTTCAATGATTTTCTTACAATTTTAACGCTTTCCTCCCCAAAGGGTATCAAATAATCATACAAACAAAATTGTTCAGTTTATAAATGCCATACATATTTTAAATGGCCATTTGCTACATTTTTAATATTCTGATAAAATCATTTTGCTCCCTAACATTGACTGCTCCCTAACATTGACAAGAGTTATTTTTTATTATTTTTTAAAAAATTGAATAAAAGACGGCGTATCTGTTTGAAGTAAGAAATATTTTAATCGGTATTTAGACTATCTTGGATAATAATTAGAAGCCTTCGTTAAATTACGTTAAAAAGTTATAATGGAAAAACGATCATTTTGAGTGTAGGGCGTTCGCGCCTTTTTTAGTAACTTCGTATTAGATTATAAAAGACTTCCGCCGAATTTAGTACAGAAGCGTGATTGACATTGTCATTGCATGTGCTAGTACATTTTCTCTGCGAATGAGCAGTTTTTCAGTAAAAAAATATTTTGTGTGAAAATATTGAAATTTATTGTAAAAACGACCTGCTCCCTAACATTGACCAAATCAGGCGATGACATCCCGTGTGTATACGCCTAAAGTATGAAGCCCAGAGGCAAGAATGAGGCTTATTAATAGCATTTCGTAAGAAAATAATGACGCATGTCGTTTAGTAATTACAATCACATTTTACGTTCATTGAATAAATACTCGTACTCGTATTATATATTGATAAAAAATATTGCATATTAACTTTCCCAATATGATACACATAATTCGTGTTTCGAATCTTTAGCAAATGACTCACTAATAGCATAATTATTTGGTATTCCCGTATAACGTATACCTTTTGAAGCGTTTGCTCACGTCTTCATTATTTGCACAGCTGAATACGTCCACAAGTGTGATATTCTTAAGTATAGACGACAATTTATAATAATATCACACTTATGGCTAAAGAGCTGAGCAATAAATGATGACGTCATCAAACGCTTCATAAGTTACACGTTATACGGGGAAAATAAACATTCTATAATCTTTAATCTATGGCGCCTATAACTCTGTTAAGCGTGTGAAAATCTAATCATAGAGTATTTATACGCTCATCGAAATTTAATCACATCACGTTATTTAAATGGCTTACGTTGAGCTAGGAAGTTTTTGCAATATGTACAAGGGGATAAATACGTATATTTATTTCACTGCGTTATACAATATATATTCATCTTTACTATGTGTTGGTTTTAGTTTCTTACTCAACGTAAAGTTCTCATCCACTGCACGTAAACACATGGTTTAGTTGTTTCGTTTTTATTTTCCTACTTTACATAAAGGTTATATACACTTTATCTAAAAACGTATGGTTTAGTTGATCCGTTAAGGTTTTTGCGCGCTAGGCATAGTTCCCCAGACTTTTAGCAGAATTTGCATTCCATACTATTGTCAACATAGAAACGGTTTATATGTATCAATGTGTCCTATTTAAACGGTTGTTGTTTCGACGAGCCTCTCGTCCTCGGGGGTAGAAACATGGTGTGTTTATTGATAAAAATGTTAGAGGTGACAGAGTTTCTTTTCTGTAAGTGTCTTGCTGACTTAATTATGACATGAAACTGGGAAGGTGGTAAATTTCATGTAAAACTAACTAATACTGAAAGTAAGACCTACACTCTACAGTAGAAAACGTGACCTATACAGTGTGTCTCAAAAAATGTTACACTTACAAAAAGTTCAATATCTTTCATGATTTTGACTTTTCCCCTAAAATTTACTTATATACCATAAGACCAGTCTTTCTCGAATAAATTCACACCATCAGATTCAAAATCCGTCTAAGATTGGCTGCACAGAACAGATTTTATAGACGCATGTGAAATCTGATTAGCGCCAACTTCTCAGTGGCTGGACATAGGTGATCAATTATTTTTGGTGTGAATGGTGTGGACAACGATATCTTGATATGATCAATGATCCAGCTGTTTCTTTTCTGGATAGAAATACAAGATTTCATTGTCAGAGTGTTCAATTTTGTTACGTATGATGGCAACGGGATGATGCAAAGGCCTATGGCAGATCGTTTGGTAGAAATCTTTGGAAATCAGAAGATAGCATTGAATTACCCAATAAATTGGCCCCCAGGGTCATCCCACTTTACACCCTCGAGTTGTTGAAGGGCCTCTGAAAGCGGTTTACAGCATCACAAACTGACCTAAATGAACTTCTGCAAAAATAATTGATAGAATCAGAGGGATATTACAATTCATGTGCACAAGGGCAATGGTACCTCAGATTTGCTTTAAAGAACATGTTGAGGGGATCACATGTTTATGTGGATAGACCCAATGATCATATGTAAGACAAATAGGAAAATTACATAATGACTCAGTTTAGGTCAGGCTTCTACTCAGAAGAAAGTTAAATATTAAAGAAACTGTTCCTCTTTTGTCATTTGGTCAATCCAATCACTTAGAAGTTGGCGCAAGTCAGCTTTTACCATGGGACACTAAAAGCTGTCATGTGGAGCCAATCAATGACAGATTTTGAATTTGATGGTGTCAAATTATTCGAGAAAGATTTGTCTTTTGGTATCCAAAGTATATTTTAAGGAAAAATCAAAAAATGAAAGATATTGAACTTTTTGTGAGAGTAACATTTTTTTAGACACTCTGTATTTGACAGAATGTGTCGTATAAATTGCAGAACTTGTGTTGCAGGGTATGTGGAAGAATATATGGTATATGGGTTTTCAGTAAACTTAATAATTTCAAAAAAGATTAAATACGATACAGATCCCGAGGAGAGTGGTACTCCACACCTTAGATGAACTTGTGTGAGTAAAATGATTGATTTCTTTGCTTGTGAGGCAAGTTGACTTTTAGGCGGAGACCGGGAAATTCTTCTAGATAATAATCTTTGGTGGATCTAGACTAACAAGGGGCACATTTCAAGTCATAAGAAATTCAGGCCAAATTTTGATAATTGGACCTTAAACAAATATTGTTCTTGGCCCATCCTATGGGTTGGGCTCTTCACCAGTCGGCCGGTGATAGGACAAAAACAGAACCCTCTAAAAGTGTTATGATTTCTTAAATACCTAATAAGGTGGTTTCATATAATTGACTATTTGTGATATCATGGATGATCTTAGAATCTGTCCAATTTTCGGAAAATCGACATTGAGATAGAATCATATCTTGAGCTTTATGAGGAATTGAGAAAGAAATGCCAAAAAAGTCGTCAAATGAAAGTCGCATCTGATATTTTAATTGAAAATGAAGAATAGGCAATGGTAAAACACCTAGTAATACATCAGATTACTGTCATTCCTGGACTCTGAGCAAGAACACCTCAGACGGACGTTTTGGAAACAAAATGTCGGAAAGTCAGTACGATTTTCCTTTTTTCCTTAGTTCACACGTTGTAGGCAGAATCCATACGACATTTTATTACAGATGTGTGCCAGTATCATATGTTTAAGGAAATGTATATATTTGCGAACACATAGTTCACAAGACAACAGAATCGTAGATTTAATTCCTCACTTAAGTTACATAAACGGTATTTTGAAAAATAGTTAAGATCTGCACTTTTAACCCATATCGTTTATGTAACTTAAGTGAGGAATTAAATCGACGATTCTGGTGTCTTCTGACTTATTTTTTCGCAGACATGTACATTTTCTAAAACATGAAACACTCATACGCGTATGTGATAAAAATGTTGTGAGCATTCTGTCTACGACGTATGAAATAAGGAAAATCGTACTTTCGACGTTCCGACATTTTGTTACCGAAACGACCGTTTTTGTAACCAGCGTAATAGATATGAGTTTAGAACGCATGAAATCATATACACAATGCTGGTAAACTTATAAAATCGGATCTGCATAAAAACCCTGACATAGTTAGGTGTGTAGACCAATTCAACGTTAATGCTTTTTTAAAGAAATGAGCCCAATATGTAAAGTATCCAATCTTTCAATCAGCGAAAAATGACAGTATCCTGCCTGGATACTATAAGTTATTCAATGATTCGAGTGAAATACAGAAAGTATTCTTCCCGAGAAGGTTGTATTTTACGATGCACTAGCAGAGTGAAATACAGACGTTCAAGGTAGTAGTAAAGGTGGTACTTATACACATATCAGTCACCTTTACCAATTGAACATTTCCTGAAATTCATCTTCACTTTTTATGTCCCCACCACATAGTGTGGGGCCATATTGTCGGCCTAGGCGCGTCCGTCTGTCCGTCTGTCCGTCTGTCTGTCCGTACGTCCGGCAGTTTTCTCCAAAACCGCTACAGATATCACCTTCAAATTTTCAGGGATAACTTATGAGTGCATACAGATGTGGATGAAAAAAAATTAACTCGATACCTACTTCCTGTCGGCCATTTTGAAGTCAAATGCTAAAATCCTTGTCTGCAAACTTTAAGAAAAACTGCTTCACAGTTGCTTTTAAAACTTTAACATCTTGTTCAGCTCACTTCATTCTAGATCTGATTAGGTTTTGGACCTGCTAGCTCAGTCATGTCAGCCATTTTGAATGTCTTAAGAAAAGTTAGCGCGCGATAATACTTTGTATCATATTGAATGGTGTTTTTGAGTTTTCATACTTTAACTATTTAGTAGCTTTATAAATAATTTCAGATGTACTTTGCTGTAAAAGCCTACTTTATTGTTAACAGTAGTTATATGTGATAATTTTGTAAAAAGAAATCAGCAAAAACTCATAAGGACTTTTTTATTGTCGGCCATTTTGGATTTTTCGGTCCTAAAATCTTGTCTGTGAAGTCTTGTCTGCGCGTTTTCAGGTGAACCGTTTGGTGGATCAATTTCAAATTTTCAGGGATGATTGTTAGTATAAAAATCTAGATCTCATTAGTTTTTTGGCATTCTGGGTAAATGTCAAGGCAGCCATTTTGGATTTTCCGTCCTAAAATCTTGTCTGTAAAGTCTTGTCTACTCGTTTTCAGGTGAACCGTTTCGTAGATCAATTTCAAATTTTCAGGAATGATTCTTAGTATGAAAATCTAGAACTGATTAGTTTTTTTGCATTCTGGGTAAATGTCAAGGCAGCCATTTTGGATTTTCCGTCTTAAAATCTTGCCTGTAAAGTCTTGTCTATGCGTTTTTAGGAGAACGGTTTGATAGATCAATTTCATATTTTCAGGGATGATTCTTAGTATGAAAATCTACAAACAGATTAGTTTTTTGACATTCTGGGTAAATGTCAAGGCAGCCATTTTGGATTTTCCATCCTGAAATCTTGTCTGTAAAGTCTTGTTTACATGTTTTCTGGTTAACTGTGTGACGGATCAATTTCAAATTTTCAGGGGTGGTTCTTAGTATGAAAATCTAGAACTGACTAAATTTTTGGCATTCTGGGTAAATTTTAAGGTGGCCACTTTGGATTTTCCGTCCTCAAATTGTGTTGGTAAAGTCTTGTCTACTCATTTTCAGGATAACCATTTCACGGGATCACCACTTGGTGGGGACATTTTGTACACATTTGTGTTCTTGTTGTAAAATGTCTCTCCAAGTCTTAACCAGTGTGGTCATACTGTATATCACTATGTACTTGCAGGCTGCCTTATGCATACTTATAATGTATATGGGTTTAAAGGGACCCACCACCTTACAAAACTTCTTAACGGAGAGGAATAGGGAAAATGCTTGCCGGATTCTGAATCTGTGTATTTTTTTAATGATTTTTCACCGTCTTAGAATTTCAATTTTTTTTCTTTGAAAAAATGAGATTTGCATTATTTTCCAATTAGAAAAATGAGTAAACATGAATAGCTCGAAATCTAACGGTGAGATTTTGTTTTAAAAAATCATGGATATCAAGGCTAAATATAGCTATACAGTTAACATATAAAAGCAATGCTTGGACTCTTCATATTCACACAAAAAAAATAATTTGTAAATGAGGTTTGATATTTGTGAGAATAAGTTGTACGAGGTGCAATGCTCTACAAACACCAGACTACAAGGTGGATTAGGATCAATGACACACATAAAAATTAATTTAAAAATATTTCATGATAATTATCTCAAACAAAAGCAGTTAGCGAGGGATACGTTTCATTACACTCAATAAATAGTTATCACTTTTGACTATATACAGAATATCACATCATTTTGAGTGATATCATTTTTATCGCCGAGTTGATATCAAATATCAACACGAGTGAGCGAAGCGAATGAGTGTTGATATTTGATATCTACGAGGCGATGAAATGATATCACGAGAAATTATGTGATATTGGGTTTATCCCATGATTACAATCACCTTGTGATGTTCTGATCAAATTTCCAGAACATTGGCAGACAACCAATACGATTATATACGATTGTAATATGCATTACTTTCTGTACATGATATAGTTCGTCATAAATACCATTTTTAATCGTTATTTAGCAGCCTTCTAATCAAATTATATACACAATCGTAATTCAATTCACCAATGAAACTTAAAGAGAATAGATTAACGGACCTATTTTCTCAAAAGAGAATAAATTATCTGACTTAATTTCCAACAATATTGTGGCGCGAAATGCAAATGTGATATCACACGGATATGCGTGAGATAAACGATATCACACGCATATGAGTGTGATAAACGATTTTCTGGAAAATATCACACGGATTTCAATAATATCAGAAATATCAATAGCTGTTATTGTACAGATAACACATTAATCGTGGGATAAATATACATATCTCATGAGAATGTATTTCCATCTGCTCAAGATATCATATTTCAGCTTCGAAAATCACAATCGTTGGATAATACATTTGTCTCAGATGATAGGCCACCCTGTAGCAATGTAGCTTTCACTTGAAGTGTACCCTTGAGAATAATGAACTTACACTTTCAAATTGGTCTTGCTTTTGTGGTGTATGTGGCTTTTTAGCAAATCTGCCACGCTCATTTCTTTCCAGAACCATCTTGTTCAAATGTATCACTATATTATACGCGCATGTATAGACAGATGACATAGTATACATATAAATTATATATTGCACCTGTATTTACTTACATTGTTTCTCTTTCTTCTAATTTTCAAAATTGATACGGGAATGACGGTTTTTATATTACCTTTTTTGTCTATCTAAAATGCTGATGAGGGACGGGATGAAACAAATAACTAATTTTGAAGGAAATAAACTGAGTTTATGTTGAATTTATATGTTGAATTTAGCCTACTTTACTGGTATATTTGATCATATATCAGTACCACGATATTGAACAAATATTTCACTCTATTGAGGTGAATACCTGTACATCTTTCACAAGTGATATTCCACGAAGCCCGAAGGGCAAGTGGAATATCACCTTGTGAAAGTGCTACAGGTATTCACCGAAAATAGAGTGAAATATTTGTTTTATTATATCACTGTCTAGCTAAACATCCCTAATATGTTTAAGTCATAGGTTAACATTGAAATACATTGAATCTACTCGGTTCGTCTGCCATTTTAACTTACACTGAACTAAATTATTTACTCTGAACGAAAACAAATTCTTTGAAAATTCCCGGGAGCGTGGGATATCGCTAGATATCTCACGGTTGTCTTTTCTGATTAGCATTGCCATTGAATATCGCCAGATATCCCACGACATGTGACCCGGTTTTGACCAATCATACTGTCGCTAGCTAGATAGTGATATAATAATGTCAATTATCCTGATCCATAAAAAGTAAAAAAAAAGTGTTTCACACGCCATGGATGCGCGCGAGGTACGGTGTTTTTCTTAGAAATTGCAGAAAAAAGGTGGGGGGGGGTTTGGGCCACACGCGGGCAAGAATGAGAAACAACCAATTTAATTAACCTAACCTTAGTTCATCCAGTAGTACGTTTTTACTGCAAAGTAGTGTTTTTATATGCAGCTTAATAGCATAAAATATGTTTAATGAAGCATATGGTGTGGATTCGTGTGACACACAAACTGACCAATACATGAGGGTATTAGCTACTTTTCACATAAACCAAAGGAGGACAGTGCTTTTATTTCAACTGGGAGCTTACCTCCACACGACTGATCATGTGACCATG